ATATTAGGGGGAAGGGATTACATATAAAGGCTTATATGTATATGATATACATGTAACGGAGATATATGTATGTATATATATATATATATATATATATCTTGCCTCTCGCACCCGGCAATCCAACCCAGGCCCAGCTTCGAACTGCGGGCCAGTACCAGAGAGAGATGCTGGAGTGCAGGTTGATAAGCTCTCTTGGAGGGTCTAGGGTTTAGGGGTTTAGGTTTTTCTTCAATAGCCAACCCCAACAAAGTCTAAACTTTGTGTCATAAACTCAATAGTTAAGGACAAAAAGTTTAAAGTCCTCCCATTGGCTATCTAAGATAAAGATATCATACAGAAAGAGGGTGCTCAAAGTGGCCATAAGGGTACTGTGCAGGTACTATAAGGTCATATGCTACTATAAAGGTACTAGACTAAAAGTTACTTTATGTCAAGGAGACTATAGTACCCTGGGGCACTCTTTGGCCTACGACGATCTTATGGACCACTGACTAGACGGAACACAACGTACACACAGAAGAAACGCAGAGCGGCTGGGGCGTGGTAATATGATACTATAAGATACTCATGCATCGGAAACCGTACAGGATTTCTTTCAGGGGACAGCAACCAACTGATGTGAGGTTTCTGCTCAGTCACCGCACTGGCAGAGGCTGGCCATGCACCGTGATGTTGTCTCCTTCGCTCGACTTTTCTTATGAGTCTCTATGTGGTATGTAAGAGTTGCTGCGGCAATGCAAGGGTTTAGTGCTCTGAAGGTTCAGGTCTTCAAAACGGATAATGGCTTGTAATTAGTATACTCGAAGTTCATGCCATTGCTGCACTGTTGCTGTCTTGCGCCGATATTCAGCTGTTCTTGCTACTGCATGCAGCTGGGTTCAGGTTGTGTAGGCATGGCAGACGAGATGCTGTCTCCTGTCTCCAAACGGTGCACGCTTGTCGCAATGTTTCGAACTCTAAGTCCTGAGCCCCAAGCCCTAAACCCTACTCCTGCCTTGACTCTCACAAACCTGCTTTTGTTTGGCAACCGCATACAGGAAAATCATAATGAGGCCGGGGTCATTCGCTTTCAGGCATGCCCGATATGCTTGAGGACCAGCACCCCCCCACCCCACGCAGACCAGAAATTAAAGGCAATAATTCCCAAACCCTCACTGCCTCAACCCTAAACCATACAGTTTAGGGTTTAGGGTTTGGTTATGCATAAACGAAATCCAGGAAGCTTCACCCGCACTGCAGGCCCCGAAACCCTCTAAGCCAAATCCCAGAAATGCTCTGCACTCTTGCAGGAAACATGGCTGAGGCCGAAGAGAACCGGAAAGATTTCCCGAAGGCTCAGACCGAAACCCTAAACCCGAAACCTTAATGTACGGGCCTTAATAATCAGAATAGGGTTTTGGGGGGTCCTTATTATAACTATCATACAATAAACCCTATAAAACTTATTCTAATTCTTAAGGCCCCCTACA